TATATATATATAAGAAATGCTCTACTTTTTTAGAGACAAACACTAACGTTCCTACGATATGCCCCATGAAATCAGATCCAAATGCAATGTTTATTGTACCTACTATTGCAATTTTCAGTATAGAAAGCCAGTGTGTAAGGCAGCATGAAACAAAGAAACATCAATTATTCTGTATGCTGTAAATTGTTCCGATAATGGCATAGTGGGTACCGTGTTTGCCTGTCAAGCTTGAAGGATACGTTGATTTTGAGTGTGGGCCTACTTCGCATTGTACTGGAAGCCAATCATCTAATGGAACGTCTAAAGGCGGTACTGGACGTAAAACTCGAAACATCTGGCATACTATAAATAAAAAAAATAAATAAATAAATGAGTAGAGAATCCGCGCACTCGCTGCGTACTTTGATGTACTTATGTTATGACGCAACTACTGTCACATCTGAGTGTTATGGAGCTTTTAGCAACTAAAATTATGTTGTAGAGCTTTGTTTCTTTTGCTAAAAATATATTAAAACCAATACCCCGATTTACTTCCTATAGATATTTTTCTATAATTAATTATTTTTGTGCCAAATAAGAAAATTTTAGCCTGCGACGTTCTGTCATTTGTGATTCTGATGAATGGACGTGAGTGCAATGTTTTTTTTCAATTAAACGTCGAAAGAAAAACGGACGTCAGCTATACCGTGCTAAGAAATATTTATTTGTTGTCGTCAAAAAGCTCCGGTTCATTTCTCGAGTGATATTACGCAACGAAAGAATGAGGAAAGCGAGTGAATAAAGATCTATCAGTTGCAGCCAAATTTGGGCGCAAAAAAATTAATATTTAACACTGTACAGAAAATGATTAGACATCTTGAATATTAGCAATTTTAGGGCATTTGGTTGATTTTTTGTTTCTTCCCCTCTCAGGGAGATACAAATATTCATTGTATCAGGCAACGGGTCCGCTGATCTAAGCCAGATTAAAACCATTCTATCCACTATTTAAATGAGTATATATATTATGACAACTCTTATCTTCTTGTGTTACAACCTATTTACATTAAAGATGTGTCCAATGACCAATTAACGTTACTACATTGTTACGTGTGCAAAGTGGTATAAACTGTCGTAGAATGTATGCAAAAAGCGTTTTTGTATGTAAGAGATATCAGTAAGAGCTACTAGAAACAATAGAACCGAAGCGATAATACCAATAGTGAAGATGTTTACGGCAACATTTGTGTAATAATGTCTGTTGGGTGAGTGTGCCAGATCAGCTACCCAATGTGTGTACATACGTAGAAGCGCATTGCTATAGTGATCGGTACCGTAATTCTGTTTGCGAATAGGAAAACGTAAGACGGACACCACGCCATTACTTATCGTGGGCGTTTCTTAAACAAAAGAAACCAGCGTTTTGGTACCCATGAAGAACTCATTACTGAACGTAAATGAAAAACTGCAGCTAAAGATCTCATTTAGCTCGTTTTGTAGAACAGACAAAAGCGAAAAAAAGCAAACAGTAATTTTAGGAAAATAACAGTATATACAAATGTTTGTGCATCGGTTATCAGGCCTACCGGCAGACGCTTGCGTCTGCTGAGGAACTTACCGACGGATGTGGCATTTGCCACATCCATCAGCTACTTCGTTACGTTTACGTGCCGTTGCGTTTAAGACGGAACAAGAGAAAAAAAAATCATTTTCGTTTGCACTAATACCGAGAGAAAAAGAAACAGACAAGTCGATAGGAAGAGAGAGCACGGAGTACTCGTGGCTATTGAATAACAAAAGTATTGTTAAATGTCACATTGACCAAATATGCTGAAGGCGAGAATAGGATACAGTAACGACGATGAAGTTAAAATCATTATGACAAAACCCGCTATTCATTAATGAATTTACAATACGTTGAATCGACTAAGGAGGAGAATAAGAGAAAACGGCACAAACTATGTTTGAAAATAATAAAGTTTTTATAGTCACTCGCGATATGGTGTAAAAAAAATGCAGTGTCATCATTTTAGGTAATGCCAGCGCATGTAAATTGTATTTGCCATCGTGCATGGTGGCTCGCACGCTCTGAAAGCATTGTACAAAACATTATTTTTAGAACATTATTATTAAAACATCCCTATTGGCACAACACGAGGAAGAGTTGTAAAGTGTATTATTTAAAAATGTAGAAATATAACATCTAGCTAAGCCGACGATGGTCTCCTAATGGAAAGGTTATCAATGAGCTTTTCTTCTCCTGTCATTATACTGGTATATTACGGCTTCAAATTTGACACAAATATTTTTGTTTATCATTCAGAAGCTAACATTCTAAAATAGTTACGCGCTACCCGATTAGCAACCAGTTGACGACGGTAACTTATAAAGCTACATTGTTTTTCGTGCAACGATAGGCGCACGGATTCCTTTATTTATTTAGTTCATCAATATACAGCACAAGGTGTTGTATACATAATAATCAGTCAAGGACGTTCAGCCTATGAGAGCTGATAAAGAAGAGTCACAGTAAAATTCGCCTTAGTTCTTTCCGGAGTCCTCCTTCAGCGTCACCGTTCTGTTGAAAACCAACTGCAATGATTAAAAACGATAACTGTTATTGCTAAATTCTAAGATTTTATCTTAAAGTCGACGAGATTATTATTATCTTTCGTATAGCTGCAAGCTGATCTATCAACCTAATATAGAGAAAACCTTGTTCTGTAATTAGTCGGTGCCGCGAATTAGATAACAGCGCAGTTCAGCGGTTATCGGCGTATGATGAGAAATTGCGTAACGTGCCTTATTTCTTTATACATAGTTACAATTTATTCTGAGTTTTCCTAAGTTTATAGAGTTAAAAAGTATGGACTCTATCGTAGTCAACCTTTTTTTACTTTACCTTCTCATCGGACGAGTCCGGATCAACGCTAAAGAAGCCCAGACGTTCGAATTGAAATTTATCGTACACTTTAGCACCTTTTAGACTGGTTTCAACAAGAGCGCAATCGCACACAGTCAAGGCATTCGGATTACAGTCAGTCAGATAACCACCGGGCACTTCATTAGCATCTTCGGGGTTCTTATGCTTGAAGAGGCGTTCGTATAGGCGAACCTCAGCTCGCAAAGGGCGGGATACCCAATGAATAAACGCTTTTGGCTTTTCATTTTCAGTAACAGGCTTGCACGCTACGTGAATTTCAACAACATTCCACGATGCGTCTTTCTTTACGTCCTTGAGCTCAATGGTGTAGCCCGCATGACGCAGACCTACTGCCTGCCCTGGACACAGACGTCGATAGCCTTTATCGCCAGCCTCCTATAAATCAAGTAAAGGTTCGAAATTTTCTTTGAAGTAAAGCCACAATTAAAATAAACTGAATAACTAACAATAGTTATACAGTTTTGTATTTTATCGAGTTTCAAAGTTTCGGTTCGAACAGGTGAACGCCAGTGCGAGAGTTTACGCGCTCTGCGATTTATTTTTAACTGCGTATTCTGTATTACCAGAAAGTCTAATACATTAAGCAACGACTTTAACAGAACAATGTCTGTTTCGATTTGCATGTGTTCCAAAGGAGATGCGGGCTATTTTCAAACAAATATTGATGACTTTCAAAGAGTATATACGAGAGATTTTCTTAGGCATTTTTATGATAGCAGCAACGGCAAAATATATTAGGTTAAAACAGTAATAAGGTAAATTGAAATCAAATGGGCTAAGTTAAGCTTTCAAATCAACTAATAGCGGTTATTGATATACGAGTGCAGTGCTTATGTTTGTACCTCTCGGAAGTCTTCGCGCTCGATGTAGATTACATCGTCAAAAGGCACAGCGTGCGAGCCGCGGTTAGGTTCGGCAGGGAAATCAGGCACGTCCAGTAGAATACCTCCCGATTTTGGAAAGTTCTCAATTATTACCTATTCAAACAGAATGTGTATTATTGGCGCATCCCTAGGCGTGCATTCTGTTGATGTTCGCTGGATGTTAGGTTTCAAAGCTCCTCCAAGGAGTAAATAGTGCAACGGATACGTATGTGAGTCGATGTTTCAGATATGTCTATAAGTTTATATCAAAGGCATACGAAACAAAAAACGAAATTGATGGATTCGTTATTAGCAATAATAGCAACTTGAACGCATGTTTGAATTAGCAAGTAGCACGAAGTCGTTTTCGGTCTTTTTATCTAGGGCCTCGTGCCTGAAACCCTTTTTGCTGAAGGGTTCGAAGCCCTTTACCACAAAAGGCTTTGAACCCAACCAAATTGTCTGTAGGTAGGGGCAGATTCCAGGGCCATCGTATGTGTAATCAAAGTAGAAAATTTCTTTTAAAATGTATAGGAACAATTTACCTTCAGAGGATCCAATACAGCCATGACACGCTTAGCAGTTGTGTTGAGAACGTCCCGAACGCAGCTCTCCAGCATCATAGGGTCGACCGACATGATACTCCCCGTGAGACCGAGCTTCGCAGTAAACTGGTTGATTGCTTCAGGAGGGAATCCACGTCGTCGAAGGGCGGTTAACGTAAACAGACGCGGATCGTCCCAGTCGCGAACGATCTTTTCTCTGAATGAAATTCAGCAAAGCACATGGTGATCAATATACCGGAAGCCTTAGGTCAAAGGAATTGAAAACTTTCTTGATTGTACATAGAGTCCGCATAAATATCTATTCGATTGAAGTTATAGTTTCAACATACATAAGATACACTATCTCAGCGAGTGGCGCATCAATTCTTCGACACGGGAAAGTAATTTCTCGATACTAACTAACTAGTAAAACGAAATTCCACTTACGTGATTAGTTCGGCAATCTTTCGTTTTGAAACAACAGTATAATTGACGTTGAGTCTGCCATACTCCCACTGTACGGGGCAGTACACGCCAACGCTGTTGCATAACCAGTAGTACGAGGAGCGGCGCGACTGAAACTCCTTCGTGCAAAGCGAATGCGTGATGTCCTCGATAGAGTCGCAAAGGCAGTGCGTATAATCGTACGTTGGGTAGATGCACCATTTGTCACCGGTTCGATGATGGGCACAAAATTTAATACGATACGCTACCGGATCTTGCTTGCCTTCTTCAAGGGTTACCTTCATTCTTAGCGTAGCATCACCTTCGGCAATCTTGCCACTTCGCATGTCCTGAAAAGCAGTAGCAACAAAGACATCGCCAGAAGGGGTGAGAAAACCTAAATATTATTGCAACCGGACACGTTCGAAGATGTTGTAATCGTTCACAATTTACCCTACGAAGGAAAAAGCAATATTTAAGGAAAGAATCTCTGCGATGGAAAAGTGATCCATAGAGTCGCAGTAGTTAGTTGATATTAAAACCCGATCAAATAAACGACAGTGACATTTTCTAGGGCTCAATCCATCATCAATAGGACAATCTCCATTACGTGCTAAAATTATACTGTGATAGATGCATACTGTATATATATTACAGTTACCTGAAATAGTGCAAGGCTTTCTTCAATAGGACGGTTCCTCCAAGGAGAAGGCGGCGGGTTAAAGCCTTTGATCTCGTCGCTGCGTTGGTGACAAACGTAGGCCAGACCTTTTTTTATAAGGACAATGGCAAGCTCATACAGACGATCAAAGTTGTCCGATGAGTAGGTTACTTTGTAAGGTTTATAGCCTAGCCACGTAACCATGTCGTAGATTCCTATTCGGAACATTTGTAAAATTAACTTTACTGCTAATGGAGAACCTCGCAGCCGACAGCCTAATGTTATTATTGTATTTAGCAGCCGATATTCCAACTCGGCAGCTGACTTTCCAACACACACAGAAAATCAAGGTCATACTTGAAATTTATTACTGGACTTATGTACCGTACCACTGGCCGCGTTTGTCTCTTTGTTTTGCTACCTTTAAGATTGAGATAATTAACTGGTGATAAATTATCCTTATGATATGAATATTATTTGAGAATCACTGAGCATTTACGAACACTGAATCTGTTTTAGTTTTAATATAATAACTAGCGTTTGAACCTTAGCATTTTTTGAAGCATTTTAATCAAAGGAAAATTAATCGAATATTGGCTGTCAAGGGTCAGCATAGGGAATTAATATCGTAGGAAGGACTGTTAGGTACTATCAAGAACGTATCTACTTTTCTGTGCTTGCGACAATGATTTGAACGGTCCGTTCTACAAAAAAAATCGTTTAAAAACGCAGCCATTTGCGTCTCATACGTATTACGTCAGTGTCGAACAAAAAACCAACCAGTGACAAATCTTTGCTCTTCTTTTTCAGGATTTGTGTCATCGTAACGGAGAAAGCAGACGCCATTATGCGCAGCAGCATAACCGAAGTTGATGTTAATTGCTTTAGCGTGGCCAATGTGCAGGATCCCATTCGGCTCAGGCGGAAATCGTGTACGAACTTGTCCGCCGGTGCGTTCGAGGTGCGCGGCCAATAGTCTGTTGGATAAAAAATAACATTTTTTGTAGATTACTGATGGAGTTCAAATATGCATGATATGTATATGTGTTATATGCTACCAAAGCGTTCAGTTCTATATTTAGCGGCAAATTTTGTCGCAGTAAGCCATTGGTACGTTTCGCCAGACTAATTCGAAGAAATTACGGTTGCCAATACTGGTCGCGTCGGCGGTGCAGGTAGAACGCCGCATGTTGTAGGGTAAGCGAATGGCTTTGACACGTCGATAGTTTACACATAGGCGAAATTCAACAGCTTTGATATTCCCACTGGACCATCCTTGACCTTGAGCTGGAATTCACAGCTGCGGCAAGAGACGAAGTTGCCTTGTTATCAAGCTAGCAGGGGCGGGCTAATATTTACCATGAATTATTCATCAAGACTCTCCATAGTATAGCCACAAAAGTGTTTATTCCGAATAGACAGGATTCAATTAAGGAAAGCTCGGCAGCGAGACTCCTCTCTAGCCTCAGATGACTTTCCTCCGGGTGTAAACTTCAGGTGTTCTTGCTTCAAGCCACAGATGACTTAAACTTAAATTCGTTAGTAAAATATTACCGACAAAACAAACTTACTTCATTGTATCATCCGTGATCATATAACCCTCCGTCTTGTGATTGTCGCCGGGTTTATGAAAACGTGCCTTGGTCCGCATGAGTTCCTGGATACTGGAGCAACCTCCGTCGTCAGCGAAAGTTCTACTATTTCTAGTTCTGTTCTTGTCACTCTCCTGTGAGCAGAACCGCGAAGAATTCAAATATGCATGTTCCGTGTTAATTACTGGCTTTATTAGGATGCTGTTGTAAGTTACAGTTGGGAAGTGGCACTCTTATGAAGCAAAATCTCGCAACGACTAGAGTCGAAAGCGATTAGAATGTTATGTGTTGGCTATTAAGAGAATCAGATATTTCATGATTTTTTCAAATTGGTTAGCTAACATTATGAGCTATCAGGTTTTCTTCAAGGAGTTTGAATTATCTAGTAACTTCATGTAGCAAAATTTTGATACATTTTTACGACTTCTTTATCTGTTTATTTGCTATTTTTACTCTACTTTAGTTATGTCGATAAGTGTAGGAGTGGATTATTAATGATTTCGATGCACGTATAATTATCCGTCAGAGTCGTGTGACCATTGATGGAATTATAGATAAGATTTGGTGCCAACTTTAGTGGAACCACCTAGTAAAAGCTATCTAAACTGCACCTTCTAATAACACTGTACATCGAAACGTTAGGATTTGGCCACGAACGACGTGTTTAGGCCCACTTAATGGCCACTGTGAAAAACCGATAGTTTAAGAGTAAATGAGCCTTGCATTTTTCCTTTAAATGAAATTGCAGCATAACATAAACAATTATTTCGAAAAGCGTTTGCTCAATCCTCTTTCAGCATAGCCCGAAATGCATTTCCCTAGTGAGAAAAGGAACACCATTAAAGGAAGAGCATAAGAACGCCGCAGATTATCGTGAGATATTACTTAGAATACAGGCAGACGGAACCTGCAATGAAATGAGGATTAAAATTAAGCCACGGATTGCATTGCCTGCAGGGTATTGAACGTATGACCTAGGCACTATTCTACGTTGCAACGACGGAAACGTTCGTTAATGAATTTCAATGCTGTAAGCAGTCGTGAACGCCTAATATCTTAGAAGTAAATCATACCAAAGCTAGTAAAAATGGCTCAGAATAATTGGATTAATCCCTTGCCGCTAATATCACAGCAGACGAAGGCCGAATTGCAAGCAAAAGAGTAATCACATGCTTAAGTTGAAAAAAACAACATTTGATCAGGGCTTTTTTTCTCTGGACAGTTTGATAGAACCGAATTTTTGTGACTCTAAGGCAAGGCTACAAGCTTCAACACTGAGGGGCTTCTGGCAAAGATTAATTGACTTGTTTCACATATTTGAGACGGACACACAAAGTATATATTAAGATCGTAAGAAAATTAACGCTTTAAAAGCACTCCTTTCTTTATTTTATCGAAGCTAAAGCTCGGCTGAAACAGGCCAGCACAGCTGTCTTATATAACGTAACGGCGCTATAGCTGAAAGGACTACTCAAAGATGGTTTGCGAAATTTAAAAACGGTGTCCGGACCTAAAGGATATCCACACCCTGATCGACCGGTTGAGTTTGATAATAATAATTTAAAGGCACTTATGAAAAAAGATGGCCGATAAACAATTCGGAAGTTGACCGAAAAAGTGAGCTGCAGCTTTACGACCGTCATAAGTTCCTTGGTTTCACATAAAAAATGTAGAAACTTCGTTATTTTAACTTTCTGAATTCAACGAGGAATTACGGTTTAACGTTGTATCCTAACATCTCACCCGGATGGTTGATGCATCAAGTAGCCACAACGACCGATCTATGCACAGAATTGTTACCCGTGATCGGAAATGGCGTCTGTACATGAACATGAAGCAAATATCGGCATAGGTGCTTCCAGGAGAAAAGCTTAAGCCCGAGATCGAACCAAATCTTAATCTACAAAAAAACTATGCTGTGCGTTTGATGAGATTGTAAATGTCTAATTCATTTCGAAGATCCTTCTATAATTCTATTTAAGGGAAATGACTCCACAAACGAGCTCAGGCCATGAAACACACGAAAAGCATCCTTAAGGCTGTTCTACTGCACTTTAAATAGAAGCTTCTTATAGTCCTCCCCATATTCACTTGACCTTGCGCCGACGGATTTTCACCTTTTTTAACGGGCGGCCACCTTTGCGGCCTTACGTTCGTCACGGATCCGGAACTCAAAGCGCACTCAGAAAACCCCAAAACAAAACCCTCTGCTGTTCGGCAAGGCAGCAAATATCATTTGGTGGAAGAGTGGAAAAGGTCGTGAACGAAGGTGGGAGATAGGACATAACAACTCACTGTGACAAGAATAAAACATATGGTTTGTTATATTAAGTGAAAGGCAGACTAATCGTTAGTCTCCAGGCCTATGAATTTAGTGACAGCTCGGTGAGAGCCTTAAAGATGACAAAATGGATGATCTGACGCGCCGTTCCTTAAACAGTTGGTGATAGACTGAGGTACAGGAACTTTCGATTGCGACTCTAGCCGGCCAACCAAGTGGCTAACAGAAATTACGCGTCTAGCGGCAAATCGGCTGTTGCCTGAAAACGAAATCGCGCGGCGGCTGGCTACGCAGCGTCATTTTTCTGTAGTATTACCCTAAGGTCGTACCTGATGTAGATAACTGGGATCGAAACCGAAAAGTTCAAGATCAAACGATGGACGAACTGGAGTACTATTGCGATTGTGTGTTTTGTAGAGTATAAAAGAGTCTACCACGTTTGAAGACTTGCTCGTGGAGATTAATGGGACTTTGTAAGGCACCTTAACCTCTAGACGGTTGAACGCTATACGTCGGGAGATTATAAAAGGAATCAGTCTTTAGCGGAAGGGCTTGATCGCACCAGGCCTGCAGATTGACGACTCGACGTCATACGTTAATGCTGCAGAGCACGCAGTAACTTCCAAGTCAACTGCCTACGCATGTTACCGGCAGGCGTCAGGTCTCGTCAGATAGATGAACAAAGTGGTACGTATTAGTACTTTTAGGATTATTCTTATCTTGTTGTCGCTAGCAAAAGTCAGCTGACGGCCCCTGGATCGTCAAAACGGATATTAATAGAAGTCGCCTTACCCAAAGCGATAATCCATGTGGACGGGTTTCCATTTACCCCCCGATGCATATGCCGTACAGAATAGTGATCACGAGTCCAGAAGGCGAGCACGGGCTGCTACTAACCAGCCTCGAGAAACGCCCTGTTTACATGAAAAGCGGCGTAGATTAGGCGGATCCATCAGTACGCTACACTCTCTTAAACAAAAGCTCCTAGTACACCTGCCTGTCCACCCATCAGGAGAACTATCCGAACTTTGTATCGGAGAGGGTTTTGTCTGAGGCTGAAGTCGTCTAACGGAGCCTCTTAGGACGCATCTCGTTGTCCGTACAGTCGCCGCTGGTTCCTTTATTCCTGCGATTCTTCTGCCAGTCGCCTTTTCGATAAACAGAACGGAGCTCCTAGACGAAATACTGTTTGAATTACTGCATGGGTTTAAAGCCGTTTTGTATAGCTCTAGAATCGCGGGCATCTTAATCGCCCAATATTTCTGTGTTTAAACTTCGAAGGGCAGTTCGCATATAACTACGTCGACGGAGATGCGTTACTAAGGCAGCATGCCCCCTGCGCCGCCGTCCTCAGCAGGTTCATACGACGCTAAAGCTTTTTTCAAGTTTGAGCGCGGGTGGAGCGCCAAAAAAAAACAGATTGGTTTGTCTATCGCTCATACACCGCACGGGAGAGGCGTGTCACCGCCATGCTTCGGGGTATCAGGAAATATGTCACAATATAAATTACAGAAAAAATACATTCATCTCACCACCCTTTCATAGACAGACTGTCAACGACGCCCTTCAACTACTCGGTCGAGTCTTGCCAGTTTACTTGTACCATTACATTAAATGGCCTTCCCCACGTACCCCCATGTACTACGTCATATGCTGGCCTTTGCTCAATAGCTCTATATCAGCCATTCAACCTATATAAGGAGAATTGTTGAGTCGTTCCAGCTTATTTTCAAAGAACAAAACTCACTCACAACATTGCCCCTCGAATTCAGTCAATTCGTCAGCGATGCCGTCGCTGGTTGTTGCCGCACGCAACGGTAATGAAACACTCTCGCTCGACTCTAATGTCGGCGTCGTAGCTACCGCTCTATTTTGATCCTCTTTGTTCTCGATACAGTGACGGGGCACACGTTCATTCCCCATGTGCCCTCTCGATCTTTCGAGAAAACTGCTTGAGGAATATAAAGCAAGCCTGTGAATACGACCCTGGCTTCTGCAGAAGATCCGTCCTGTAGTTTCCTACTACTAGTGTTATACGAAATCCCATAGCGTTTGACACCGTCGCCATTTTTAATAAGTTAGAGTGCTGCCGCACTGCAAAGGTCCGATACGTTGATGGTGTCAGACAAAGGGGTTGTTGAAAGAAGTAGACAACAGCTAAATGATTTGTACGTTAGCACATGTAACTAGTTCACTGTTCACTATATATATGAATTCGTCACATCTCGTCAGTGTTCGGATAGCGACCTGTGACGGTTACCAATTGGAAGCTTCTGTCATACTTGTGTGATACTCCGAACTGCAGTTCTTCAGATGGAGTGCATCTATATTCGGTTAGATCAGTGTGTTAACGTGATATTTGGATCAAGAGATTGTTTATTAATACTTTTGTCAAACACAGCTTCGGCCGAAAGGATTCAAAGGAAGGGCCGAAGAGGTTCAACCCTAAACAGTTCGATATAGAAACATCATAGGCCAGTGAACGTTATCACTGTGAAGATCTACGTGCCGTATGTTGCCTTATATAGTTCTTGCAGCTCTACACCGCAGTATCACCTAACAATACCCCTTTGCGTTGAATCGTACCTACGCAATGACGCTTAGTCCATTAGGGCATCGCCAGATTGAGTCGGTTAGTGCAAAAGAGTTGCGATATTCAATGAAAATAAAATCTATTAATGCTGCTTACGAAGAACACTCCCACTCACATTTGAATTTTGCTCAACTTCATGCTCAACTAAGATAGCCTATATACAATATGGTGTAAATCCCGCTACTACACGTCCGAACCGTCCGATCTGAACGGCAGAAATTGTTCGACCAGTTGTTCTCAATGAAGCTACGTACAATGTG